GGCCTGCCCAACAGTTTCTCTTGTTTCACTCTCTGAACATTGTTGCAGTTTTCTAAAGAGTGGCTCAGACCACAGAACTCATTCTTGGAAATCTTTCATTCTCCCCCTTTCTCCAGAGTGCCCTGAACCCCCAGCCAGCCAGCTATCATCCTCTGCTGGGTTCTAACTTGTCCTCCTAATCGACCACTCCCTTACTTCAATTACTAGTGGGGCATTCATTTGTATACACATGCCTGGCTCCAACCCTGGAACACCTCATTCAGCCCATCTGGGTTGGGGTCCCAGCCTCAGTGGGTCTTTGATGTTTGCTTTTTATGTCAGAAGATATTTCTCTTGTTAGATTCCTCTGGGTGTTTCCAAGACACAGATTAAAAAAAAAATTTTTTTTTTTAATGGAAAGGCAGATATACAGATAGGAGGAGATACAGAAACACCTTCCGTCCACTAGTTCACTCCTCAAATGGTTGAAATGGCCACAGCTGAGAGGAACGAAAGCCAGGAGCTTCTTTTGGGTCTCCCACGCAGGTGCAGGGTCCCATGGCTTTGGAATAGATTCTCTACTGTTTTCCCAGGTCACAGGCAGGCTGGAAGGAAAGTGGAGCAGCCGGGACACGAACCGGCCTCCATATGCGATGCCAGCCGAGCAAGGCGAAGTTTTAGTCAATTGAGCAACCGTGACGGCCCTGGAAATACTGTGGGACGACAGAAATTATCCATCCCTCGCCAGCACACTGCGATCCGCCCAGATGCCTTTCCCAAACCGTGAAACGACAAGGCACTGGCAAAAATCTTCCGCCTAGAACCGAAGCGGAAGTCCGAGAGAGCAGGCCGTAGTGCCTGGGGAACATGGCGTGGAGCGTGGACCCCGACACGCGAGGTTCAGTGTAGAGTGGGCATCGCCAGCAGGCGTCAGCGGCTGCGACCCCGTCCGCCCACCCTGACGCTAGCTCGGCCTCTGATTGGCTGGTCTGCCGGCCGGTCTGTATACGTCACTCCAAGGGATCCCCCTGCCGCCTTCGGATTGGCTCTCCGGCGAGCGCCGCGCTGGACGCTGGGACGCCGGTGATGCGCGTAGAGAACCGGAACGCGCAGGCGGGGAGCTGCTTATCCTGCACCCTCGCCTCTTGAGGAAGTCGGCCCCGTAGGGATTTTAGAAAGTTGAGGAGCGGGCGGTGGGGCTCTGCTTCCATGTTTAATTTGAGCCCTGGCTCAGTATTACTTTTGTTTCGCCGCTAGCACGCTTCCGTCTTGGAAGTCGGTAGGATCCGGGCTTATTCTTTTATTTAAGGGTCTGCTGCATCTAGGCATTGGTTGTCTTTCGCAGGGATCTGTGCGGAGCCCCGTGAGGTAGAGGTGGCGGGGGCGGTAGGTGAGGGCTTGGAGATGCCCGCGTGAGGCGTTGGAGGTAAGTCGCTGTTTTTGTAGGCTGTGTGGATCCTTCTGTAATGCGGGAGCCTGGGGCGTAGTACGGAGGGTCGCCCTTTACGAACCACTTGCATGTGGCCTGCCCCGTTTGTGTGCGGTGGCTGCCAAAGTTCTGGTGCTTTGGGCACTCCCTTGTGAGGAGGCGGTGGGAGATGGCAGAAGTGGGAACCCGGGAGTCACTGGCGCTTGCGGTGCTTGCAGCAATGGAAGAGGGTGCCCAAGGGGGCTGGTTGGGGACGGTGGGGTCACTGAACAGAGGAGGTGACTTGTGAGCTCAGGTTAAAACTGCAACTGGTCAATCTCGTCATTGGAAGAAGCAGGGGAAGGCGTTCCAGGACTAGTGCAGTGCATGGCTAGGGCCTGTGGCTAGGTTCCTCAGCGGCCGAAGATGAAGTCCCTAAGTACATAGAGGTTTAACTTTGTAAGATCTTAAAGAATTACCGTTAGAGTGTGTACTGTGCACCACAGAATTGATAAGATACATTTCCATCGTCAGGAAAGACAGGTGGTTGGATGGATGCAACAGGGCTTCAGAGCAGAAGGTCCCAGGCTGCAGAGGAGGATTGCAGTACAAGGAAGGGAGGAAGGATCTTCTAGCTGGAGGACTCAGGGTCAGATGGAACAGGGGAGCACTAAAGGTTTAGTCTGGTTTGGTTAGGGCCAGGGCTGGTAGGTCGGTTTTGAAACATTTCGAATGCTAAACAAATCGCTCTGTTTGTATTTTCTGGCCCATGGGAGCCATTGAATGCTGGTAGTGACCCGGCCACATTTCCAAATGGGTTAGTATGTGTATTATTCCAAGAGTCTTGGATTGGGGTGACCCATTGAGACAACGTTACTGTCTGATTGAAGGACTGGTGGGTTTGAACACCACACGTCCATTGGTCCAAGACTTTAGGTAGAGTCGCTCATGTTCACATTAGTCTCAGTGTATGTTTCCTCGATTCTAATGGTGCTTGCCTCACCTGAGGAGGAAGATGGTCAAACGTAGCCCTTAGCTAGCAGGCACTCCCTAAGTTTCCATCTCCTTAGAAAGCTCAGTTGCTGAGTGGTGGATGCAGCCCGGCAGTTGTCGGGGTTATCTGTCCCTTGATCTTCCTAAGAGGTATTCGCAGAGTTGTTATTTATGTATAGATATAGGGTCATGTGGTTGGGCTGCATGGGGTGACTTTGATCTTGGTGCTCATGTCATGACAGCAAACCACTAAAAGATGTCATTTGGAATAAGTCAGCTTTATTTGCCAGGTTCAGAATTTCCTGGGGTTTTCCTTGCTTGCTTTACCTAGCTCATGGCCTCTCTTCTTTCCATTAGTAAGGGTAGGAGTATGGAGAGTATGAATTCAAACCTTGTATTTAACTGGTAGAAAAATGTAAATGTGGTCATCAGACCTCAGTTTTTTTCTAGCTCTGCTGTTAGTTTGTGAAGGACCTGTGGCAAATCGTGGTCTCTCTGAGTCTTGTTATGGCTGTTTTTAATCTTTGATGGCAGCAGAATTAGAAGTTGAAATGTATGTGAAAGGAACTGTCACGGCGTGTGCACATGTTCAAAGGAACAGACCTACCTGGTGCAGGCCTGCAGAGAAATGCTTTGTTCAAAGCCCGGAGGGTCATTCAGGCTGGAATGAATGGCCCAGACAACACAGGGCTAGCTTTTTATGATCTCAAGTACTTGGAACAGCTGTTCCTGCATCCGTGCAGGGAGAGGCTGACAAGGGTTTATTATATGGCTCATTGTTTGTCAGGAATTTTCAGGATGATACACATCCTTAATATCTGCCCGATGTTCCATAGTTTTCTGGGAACTTATCCTGGCTAGTGTTTTTGCAAGCTCAGATGTAAGGCTTTCATGTCCAGACGTGCACTCCACGTCTCAAGAATTCGTCTCACTGGACTTTCGAGGATTTAGAAGAAAATCTCTTCTAAGTTGTTAACATTAGAATCATTACCTTCATAAACATTGCTGGGATTTTACATTGCATGGTGTTCGGGCTCCTAAAATTTTTGGACAATAAATGCTTCTTACTCTCTGGTGCTTCGAAAGTGAAAAACTAAAACTGGTTGAAGTTTGCATTTGTATAGAATGCAGTTGCTTAAAGCAAAGCATAGAAAATAAAATATTGAAAATTTATAATTAGAACTTAAATCAAAAAAAGAACTGCCCACACCCTGCCTTTTTTTTTCCCCTTTAAGTAAGCCTGAATTTTCTTGGATGTAAAAACAGGGAGTTGGGTTGCTGCTAGGTAACAGAGAAGTGAAACGCAATGATGCGATGATGAGTGAAGTATAGTCTGACCTGGTATTGCCAGTGTTCAAAGTTGGCTTTGACCAGGGTATGACCCCTTAATCTTCTCTCTGAGCTGATTCTGATTGTGTGGACACACAGCTGTGTTCCAACCTGTTTGGATACTGATTTTGTTACGCAGTAAGATTGTTTCTTTGACATTCCTTTGAATTACTGACACTGTCATGTTTTCTTCCTCAGGTTGTGGTGAAAAATCTGCCTCTAAAAAAATCTTCGTGGAGAAAACATCATTTCAGTCCTGAATCTGATTCAATTCTCCTGTTGACTTATGACTGTATTAAAAATGTATTGCTAAATTAATTGTGGTATTTGTTTTGGTAAAATCTTTGAGATTTGGGGCTGGTGTTGTAGTCTAGCAAGTTAAGCTGCCACCTGACACCAGCATCCCATGTAGCACTGGTTCCTGCCCCATGCCCCACTTCTGAGCCACAGCGTATCTCATTTCAAAATTTGGCTTTATTGATTTCTGCTATCAGAGAATGACTTCAGAATTGCAAAAATGAATTAGAAAAAAATATCATAGCAAAATCTCAAATTACTTTAATTGTCCTCTTAAGGCTTTCTTTTTTTTTTTTTTTTTTAAGATTACTTTTCTAATTGGAAAGGTAGATCGAAGGAAAAGGAAAGATAGATCTTATGTCCACTGGTTCATTTCCTAAATGACCACAACAGCTGGAGCTGAGCCAATCCAAAATCAGGAGCCTGGAGTTTCCTCTGGGTGTCCCACACAGGTGCAGGGTCCCAAGCCTTTGGGCTATCCTCTACTGCTTTCCCAGGCCACGAGCAGGGAGTTGGATGAGAAGTGGAACAGCCAGGCCATGGACTGGCGCCCATAGGGGATTGCATGCAAGGTGAGGGTTTAGCTAGTAGATTATCATTCCAGACTGTATTAAGGGTTTTCTTGTGTGTTTTTTAAAGATTTATTTGAAAGGCAGAGCTGGGGAGGAGAGACAGAGTAAGACAGAGATCCTTTATTTGCTGGTTTATTCCCAAATGGCCACAACAGCCAGTGCAGAGCCAGACCAAAGCCAAGAGCCAGGAGCCTCTTCTTGGTCTCCCATGTTGGTATAGGGGCCCAAACACCTGGGCCTCCATCTGCTGCTTTCCCAGGCCATTAACCAGAAGTTGGAATTGGAAATAGAGCAGCCAGGAGATGGACTGGGCATCCATATGCAATGTTAGAGCTATTGTGTCTATTATTTTTAACCCATGTTTCCAGCAAATTTTCTTACACAACCAACTTGTTTCTGATGTTATTTCAGACAAGGCTCAATTTTTACCATTGCCTTTTTTTATTTGAAAAACGAAGAGACACAGAATTCTTTGTCCAATGATTCTCACCAGATGTCCACAACAGCATGCACTGGGCCCAGGAGAAGCCAGAAGCCCCAAACTCAACACACAGGGGGCAGAGCCCCAGCTAATGGAGCCATCTTCTGCAGTTTCCTAGGGTGCACATTAGCAGGAAGCTGGGACTCAAACCAGGCACTCTGATGTAGGACCAAGCATCCTAAGTGACGTCTTAGCTGCTGCACACAGCGCTTACCTTCTAGCAGAGGATCCTTGTCTCAGTTATTGGTTTAGCAAAAAAACAAAATTGTGAATCAGTATACAGATACCCCCCAAAACCAAAGGTGGTCTGAGTGAAAATTTAAACATCTCAAGTAAATCTTAAGTTCCTGCATGATTATGCCAACATAAAATTTGTCAGAAACATTCTTAAAAATTGACTTTAAATGTTTCTTTAATAGTAGACAGAATATTCATGCCAGTTTAGCAAACTTAACAGCAAGCAGGAAAAGCTTATTAAAAGGGCCTTTATTTGTATATAGCTGGCTAAATATTCTACTTTTTTTGTTAGCTTTGCTCTCACATTGAGATCTTCCTGTACATTCAACCTCTGTTCTTTTTAACTGGTTTCCCAGAAAAGATATTTATGGCTCATAAAGTAATCTTAAAAAATTTGATAAACTACAGCACTTGTCATGGGTCACAGTGTATAGTAGGAACTGTTCTAAAGTGTTTTGTAAGTATTTCCATGAAGAGTACGTTCACATTTTCATATTTGGAAATTGATAAAGCCAGCACTTTGTTGAATACTTTATTTTCTCACCACCCACTTCATAAAGTCTAGCCTGGCTTTTTTTCCTGAGAACTTGTATAACTGTTCATTTAGAAATGAATGGATAAACCATCCACTACTTCTCTCCACCTCTGCTGCCCTTCAAATCCCCTGCTGATTTCGAGGCTCCACAGCACAGTTTGGTCAGTTGTAAGTAGCGAGTCTAGAGAGCCAATAAAAGGTTAGGATCAAATGGGTCTATAAGCACTTAGTTACTTATAGTTCCCAGAGGAGGCTGAGAGAATGCCACGTCACACTGAGCTCTAGGGTTCAGGACAGCAGGTGCTTACTGCTTTCAGTTCTCAGGGGAGTACAGCTTAATCAGGTGTTGTACTTCTGTGGGATAGCCTGTGATGGGACAAGCTTGGTGACTCCTCACATAGTTAAACACACAGCGGTAACAAAACACATAGCCAGATGTGGCAAGGACGGTATCGTTCACTCGGGTTTTACGACACAGTGGGCACGCAGTCTTCAGTTTGGGTAAGAGAGGAGAATCCGAGTTGTAGTCGAGATGGACAGGTGGTGGGGGGGTAGGCAGCGCAGTCAATGATTTGACGGTTTCTTGATTTTCAGATGAGTACCACCAGTCTAGGAACTGTAGGAAGAATACACCTACGGAAAGGCCGGTGGAGAGGGACAGGGCAACTCCCCCTACTGCTTTCTTCAGAGCTGAAATAATCTGCTCCCTGAAGCTGTTGGGAGAAAAACATGGAGGCAAAGAGACAAACCTTCAGTATAACCACAGAACGACTGACAAGTGCATTTCCTATACTGGCCATTTGTTAGCCTGGTACTAATCCTTAAGGATCTATTCTAAATTCCTTTCTGATTTGAAATGTTTTAGGAGTACAGGGGTTAAGCTTCATTTTAAATATTAGGGTTCTGAGAAAGAAGTGAAGTTTTAATGGAAGATAGTGCTTCTGGAAGAAGGAACTTACAACAAACTTAGCATTGAGCTAAGTATATTTATAAGCGCAGAAAGCAGGCGCTAGCTAGCTGAGGCACGGCAGCAGCAAGCATGGTCTAATCTGACCTCGGCTGAGTGGCTTTGACGAAGCACCCAGCCAGCTGGGCTGAGTTTCCCCGGCTGTCCTGGATTGTGATGAGGACTGAGCTCACTACAGTGTACCTTGAATGCTACAGAAGGTGACTCAGAGCCAACATAGCTTTCCTGGAAATCTCAACGTCTTACCTCCTGGCCGGTTGCGGCATCATGCCAGCTTTGTGCTCCAGAGCCTGAATGTCCTGAGCCGTCAGTCGACCCAGCCGAACCCCAGCCAGCTTCAGCAGGGGCGAGTGGTGCTGAGCTTTCCCTAAGATGTACTGAAGCTGCTGGACGAGAAACCAGCCTTCCCATGCCATGTTGACAAATGGGTAGGCTGCCAGGAAGGCTCTGTAAAAGCGTCTCCAGCGAGAAGAAGGAGGATGGATGGAGTACTCCTCCTCCTCCCGCAGGCTAGAGACCAACTTCTCCAGCTTCACCCTGAGGTAGGGAAGGAGGACCAGGAGCAGGATGGATTTCCAGAGCTGCTGCCGGGGCAGGCCGGCGCTGGCCAGCCGCTGGATGCCGTGTGTGTCACGCATGACGATCCTCTTCAAGCCGTAGAAGTTCTCTGAGAAGGAGGCGCTGGTTTTAGCCAGATAATGCTGCTGAAGCAGAAGGTCCAGCAGCGTGAAGATTTCGTCAAACCATCTCCACAGGAAGCCATAGGAGGCAGGATTGGATTCCGCAAGAACCTGAGTGAAAATAAAGTGAAAAATTGCATTCCACACCTACGAAGTATTTTACTATTATTTCCCCCCTCTAAATTCTACACACTTTCCACTTAAACAAGCATTTCTTGTGGGTTCTCCCCTAACCTTCCTGAAAGTGCTTAGGGGTCCTGTATGGGGGTTTGCCTAGAGCAGTGAGTCAATAACCTCTCAGATGTGGGGCTGGGGATTGCGTGCCGAGGGTTGTCTTTAGAAACCTTTCTGAGAACGCCTTACCTTGACCACATGCCGAAGTGCAGGTCTCACTGCTGTCATTAGACTGTCCTGCGCCACCACCTCAAAAATGGAAGGTTGGTCATCGGCCACTGATGCAGTTGTGATGTGCGCCCCATGCTCGGCCATGGTCTCCCCAGCGACTCTTGAGTTAGCATCAAATCTTTTTTAGGTACCAAAGAAATGCTCGATCTTAAAGGTAATCTTTCTGTGTAATACTCAACTCCAATTTTACAGACGATTAGATTTGAAGAGGTGGAGAGGGGGCAAGAAGGGAGGGGTCTCAAACTGAGGTTAGGAAGGCAATTAACTGGGGCTTGGTTTGTGGAAGGGGGGCATGTCGGGGAGAAGGCGACTTGTCAAATGCTGCACCCCGCAGGGTTGAGCATGAGTTTAGGGGTCAGGTGCTGCGGGGCGAAGGAGCTCTGTCTGCGAGTTGGGTCCTGCAGCCACGCACCAGGGAACCTCGATTGCGAAGGCTCCAAATCTAGCCGGGCTCCGAAGAGTTCGAAGAGACAGGGCAGACCGTGGACAAGACAGCCGGCTGCTGCTGCCGGCTGGGACGCACCCTCGCCCACTGCTGTCCTTGGGCACTGACCCCCGGCGAGGCACAGAGGACCCACGACGCCACGTTTGTACGAGGTCTCCGCTTTATGACAGAAGCCGCACCCGGAAATGGAAAGCTCCGGAGCCTGGCGGACGCCTGGCGGAAGAGGGGCACTCTAGTCCCGGAGGAGGCCTTGGCGCCGGAAGTGGAGCGCTCTATGACCCTCCCGCCTCCGCCGGGCTGACTCGAGAGGCGGGACCGGCAGGGTGTTTGGGGTCGGTAGCTTCTTCGCCGATTTGTTCCCTTTTCCGTTCAGGGTCAGCTTCATAGCTGCAGTGTAAAGCCGCGCCGGACCCCTCTTTGAGGTCCTCTTGCCGAGGTGTTTGGTTGCCCGCGCGGGTGGCGGGGCTCTGGCAGCCGAGGAGGGAAGGCCTCTCAAGGATTTGGGGTGACGCCATGGTCGATACCAACCATAAACGGGGAAGGGCTGGTCCTCCCGGCCCGGCTGCGTGGCTGTCCTCCGGGCGCCTGTTCCAGGCAGGCCCGGCTCTGGCCGCCCGAGCGGAGGCGCCTGACGGATCCTCATCCACCACAGATGCTTTTATTTTTCGCTGTTGTGCACCTCGGCTTGCAGCTTCTTCCCCACCATCCCTTAGTAATTACATACTAATGATGCATGATGTGCCATGAGGTGTTTAGATCTGATTACTTCCTGCAGAACGGAGTTTTAACATGTTCACACTTTTGGATTCTGGTGGGCAAATATATAGGGAAAAAAAATCCAGCCCTCACTCTTTCCCTCTCATCAACCTCAGGGAGTTCCCGTCTCGTTGACAGCCAATCTCACAGGCCCTGGTCTTCCAGTTCTAGGTCTTGGTACCGACAGAAGCTTCCTTTGTGTTATGCTGAGCACATTCCGTTCTTACTTCGTTTTAAGCGCTCCAAGACTATATAACACCAAGGTTATTACTTTCTTAGACACACCAGGCAGGGACTCGAACTCACTGCCATCTCCATCGCTTTTCCTTGTGCCACTGCCTTTGAGTTCTGTGCTGGATGGCTGTTGCCTTTTCTGAACCACCTGCCAGGGTAACTAGCCATTTTTCATTGTTTTTTAATGGAAGGGAACAGGCTATTTTAAAGTTTTTCAGAGAATTCCTTGCGAGGAAACAAATGCAGCGAATATCAGCTTGTTGAAGCCTCAAACTGTCGTTTGAGGCCCAGGGCCCGGCCCAAGGAAAACGGGGTGGGAGAGGAGCGGCTTTTCGTCTCCAAGGCAACGGGTAGCTGCCTTTCTGGTTCTCCCGCGCATCCGGACGACGTCACGCGGCGAGGTTCTCTGACGTCGGGACTTCCGGCCCACCATCTTTGTCGCTGGCAAAGTGGGTTTTGCGCAGTGGCTTAGATCTAGAGAAAGAATCGTGACGGGCAGGAAACCATTACAACACCACCGGGGCTGTGCTGTCCGGCTGCTCCCGCCACCCCCGCCCTTGCCTCTGGTGAGTTCGAGGCGGCGGACTTTGGGGTGTGGCCCTAATTAATGGGGTGGAGGGTAAAAGTGAGGAGAACCTCAGGCTGGGTAGAAGGCGAACGGAGCCGAGGAAATCCTACGAGCGCGACCGTTGAGGGTGGAGGCAGCGGTCGGGTGTGACCGTTGCGAGGAAAAGGTTTCGAGGAGAGGTGTCTGCCGCGGTGGCCGTGGTGGCCTGAGGGAATCCTCGAGTGTAGCAGCAGGTAGTTGGGGTCCTGGGGGACAGTGTGCTTCGAAGTCGGGGTTCAGGGAGGGCCAGCGGCCAGGGGTGTGGCCGGAGGCCGAGGGGCGAGAACCTTCCTTCTTCGCCCTGCTGGGCGACGTTCCGAGGGGAGCCTGGGACGTGTCCAGCAGCCAGAGGGAAAAGGGATTCCCTCCAAGCTGTGTCCGTTAACGGGCAAACCTCCGTACCTCGGGGTTGTGGGGTGCCTCTCCTGGGCACAGAAAACGGGGGCGGGCAAGAGGCTGCAGGGAGGAAGCGCTAAATTTTAGCTCGAGTTTGTGTATTTTTCCTGGGTTTGGTTGGAACAGGCTGGTTTGTGGGGAAGGCTTTAGATTTGAGGCAGAAGTTGAGAAACTGGAACTTCCTGTTATTTCCATACTCTCTGCATCCAGAGTTTAACCCTGCTGGTTGTGTTTAGAGAGGTCTCTTCGCAGGGACGAGGGAGGGTGGCCTTTTATTGCACTATTGCTGGGCTGCTTCATTGGGAAGTGTGAATAGTTCATGAAACTTAACTTTTCAAAAAAAAAAAAGCCACAGATTTTTTTTTTTTACCCGTCAAATGCAATTGCCACATAATATTGTGGTTTAAAAGCAAGAGTAAAGAAATCAGCTTCGAGAGAGACCAGATGACTAAGAAAGAAGGAACTAAGTAATGAGGACCAATTTGTTAGTGGCCTTGCTAGTGTAGTTCTAGTGCTTAGCCTCGGGGTATACCTACGAAGTAATAATAGAAAGTGGCAGCTGGCTGAGCTGCGTGCCAGGGGTGACTAAGCCTGGTGGTGAGGTGAGGAGCCTTTGCAGGTAGCTCGGGGTTGAAAGTCCCAGGGGAGCAGAGAGGCGCCCCTGGTCTGCACACTGCCTTTCCTGTGGTAACAAGCTAACCTGCCATCGGAGTGTCAGGAACCTGCAGCTCTTTGCTGCTTGTTTCATGGGTAAAAGGGCGGTGTTTTAGACGAGTCTGTTGGAGGGCTGCAACATGTTATTTAGCATGTTCTTCTGCTTTCCTTCTTCCGCAGGCTGCTGTTTTCCAGGGTTTATGATATTTTCAGTTATGGATCGGAGCTAGAACTATTTTTTTTTCATTTTATGATGCAGTTTCATAGGTTTTGGGATTTCCCTAAGCCCTCCTCCCATATTGAATTCCTCCATATGGTTACAGTGGTACAGTTCATAACCAGTTGTGATTCCTTCATTGTGGGCATGGATCATGCGGAGAGTCCAGCATCTTATTGCCCAGATAAATTCAAGAGTTTCATTGGGAGACCATCCTTGGTCTGAAAGTAAAGCAGAGCTAGAACTTTTTTAGAGCTTTGTTTCTGTGTATTGCTTGGTATCTTCAGTTTGTTGTATTTAACTAGAAGTCACAGATGATGAAGCTTTCAAGGCTCTGGTTACATCTTACAAACTAAGTGACAGTTTACTATTTTTTGTCTGTTCACTGTAATTGACTAATTAGAAATTGAATTAGCATCTCTTCCTTTTGTTTTTATTAAAAAAAAAAAGCTGGTTGACATGACTGTTGCACTTCATGGTTCTGTTAATTTTGGTCAGGTTTCCACTCTTAACTGTAGTGTAAGGTTTTCCACCTTAACTGTGGTGTAAATTTTCCACCTTAACTGTGTGAGTCTCAAATTTGTGTTTGTAAAGAAAAGGACTTAGTTCATCAATTCTGATTTGGCCACCATTTCCCAGAGAGCCTCTTAAAATTGAGATCCTATTAATTTTTTTCTGTCCTTATTCTACCCAAGGTATTAATCTTACGTCAGTGTTTCTCTTTTGGGGAACTGGAGGGAGGGAGGGTGGAACAGGAGAGGAACTTTGACAACCTATATCTGGCTGGCAGAAACTGGGTTGTGTGAGATGGAGATCTGTAGTGCTGCGCGGGAAGGCCTTCCGCCAGGCAGCGGCGTAATGCTGGGGGCTAGGACCACCCTGAGGAGTAGCAATGTCCCAGGCCATGCCGTCAGTCCTCACAGTGGCCAGGAACTCGCCTGGCTTTGCTCATTTCTGGGGCTCTGCTGAGAAATGAGTATGTCTTTTGTGGGAGGAATTTGAGTTTTAAGACACTTCGGCAAAGATTTTTTTTCTTTTCTTCTGGAACTCCATCTTGTGTACTTTTCTGTGACCTCAGTTTTCACAGTACTGTATTTTCAAGAATTTTGGCTGTGTCCACATCTGGCAAGCCATTAGGTATACCTCATCTAAAAAAATGTAAGTGAAATTTACATGTTATAAAATCAAGCATTTTCTAGTGAACAGTGACATTTTTGTTCTATTCATGGTGCTGTGCAGTCACCACCTCTTCCTGTTTGTTCTTGTTTAGATTTTTAAAAATTTTTCTTGGAGTTTGCTTTGCCTTAAGACAGGGACCATTTGGTACAGCTTATCTACCAGAATGGGTGAGAGAGTCTATCTCTAAGATTGTTTATGTGTCAGTTAAGAGAATGTTTCTCTCTTTAAAGCAGGGAGGGATTCTTAATTTAGGATTTGTGTTACAACCTTCTAAAGACTCTTGAACTTCCTTTCACTGGAATGTTGAGGGTAGATGCAGTGATCTGAAGCTTAGAAATGCTCACAGTGTACAGGAGAGACATACATGACCTCACCTGGAGATTTCTTTCTTTTTTTTTTAAGATTTATTTTATTTTTATTACAAAGTCAGATATGCAGAGAGGAGGTGAGATAGAGAGGAAGATCTTCTGTCCGATGGTTCACTCCCCAAGTGACCGCAACGGTCGGTGCCGTGCTGATCTGAAGCCAGGAGTCAGGAACTTTTTCTAGGTCTCCCACGTGGGTACAGGATCAAAAGGTTTTGGGCCGTCCTTGGCTGCTTTCCCAGGCCACAAGCAGGAAGCTGGATGGGAAGCAGGGCAGCTGGGATATGAACTGGCGATCATATGGGATCCCAGCACATTCAAGGCGAGGACTTTAGTCGCTAAGTTACCACGCCAGGCCCTGTTTTGTTTTTTATTTTTTTAAATTTGTATTATATTGAGAGACAGAAAAAGCGTGAGGATTTAGCTAGTAGGCCATCATGTTGGGCCGAGAAATAGATTAAGTTAATGTTTAGCAGAATGAGGTGAAAATCTCTGTTAAGAATTTAGTTATGTAGATATGTGAGAATTTTAGAAAACAGAACACTTTTGTGTATTTTTTTAAGAAACTGGTTGAAAATTTCCAAGCAAATTGTTTTTAATTCTTAAGCAAGTTTTATGTTTTGATAATCGTATCACTTTGAATAGCATCATAATATCCTAGACAGACCACGGGTGGCCTGCACTGTGAAGAGCCCTCTTGTTGGACTTCTGTGTTTTTCTCTCTATTGATTTCTCTGTCTGTGGATGTGAATTTGTAGATAACACCTTGGGAGGGGTATATTCAAGGGCTGAGGTGAAGGATGCCTTCCTTTGCTCACCTACATCTAGTGTGTGTTGTGAGAACATTAAGTATTCTTTGAATTTTTACTGGAAAGGGATTACAAAAACAAGTTAGGCGAGCCTGTGTAACAGTTTGATCTTTGGTTATTAAAATGAATTTCTGTATTGAGTAATGATATTTGATAGTTCCAGGGCACTAATTACTTTTTTAAAAATTATTTATTTTTATTGGAAAGGCAGATATACAGAGAGAGAGACACACACACATGCAGATCTTCCTTCTATTGATTCACTCTCTAAATGGCCACAGTGGCCGGAGCTGAACTGATCCGGAGCCCGGAGCCAGGAGCCAGGAGCCTCTTCCAGGTCTCCAACACCAGTGCAGAGTCCCAAAGCTTTGGGTAGCCCTCCCCTGCTTTCCCAGGCCACAAGCAGGGAGCAGCTGGGATACAAACTGGCACACATACAGGATTCCAGTGCATACAAGGTGAGGACATAGGCACTAGGGTACCGCCCTGGGCCCTAGGGCACTATTTTTAAACAAGGTAATTAATTCATTGAAATTCTAGTATGATGCCAGGAACTGTTGTCTTAGGATCAGGAGTAAAGACAGTAAGGAATTGGTTGGAAAGATAGCAGTTGAGTCTGATTTCGATGAACACATTTTAGGGATCAGAATTGGGTCAGACTTCTTTCCATTATTTCAGGTTTATTTGACTTTTCCCTCTTCCTTTTTTAAGTATATTGATTTACTTAGTGCTTAGGTCTTTTGTCCGAAATCGGCCCCAGTTTGCCAAATATGTTTTTGCTCATCTTTGTCAAATGCATCATCATGCACATTGTGTTGACTTCATAACAGATACTAGAATATCTTGTCTTGAAATTGATAGTAAGTTTTGTTAGTTTTAGCTGTGTGGAAGAAGATAGCCATTTTTGAGTGCAGAAGGAATATTACTTAACAAGAAACTTTATTAATATATCTAAATAACTCAAATATATTGGAAAAAGTTCTAGAATTTCTCAACTCAGAAAACATTCTCACTATTTTGGGAAAAATGTAAGTGATTTGTGCCATTTTTGTTTTATGAGAGTTCTTTAAAAACTTTGTCTAAAATATAATTTAAAATAAGTTTGTTTCAGTGCATGCAAATGTTGAAAAATTTGTATTAGGAAATTACTTTTTTTTTTCCCATTATTGCTGCAAAGTAAATTGTCCAACTGTTTTCCCACCCTTAGGGAACTGCATTCCTAGAAGTGGTGTCGTATATTGCTGGATTAACTCTCCAGGAATTGGGGCAGAAAAGTTAAGGCTGAGGCTGAAATCCATGCTCTTTGAAGGGTTAGCCCCAGTTCTGATTCCCTTTTATATTAAGTATGACTGAGCAAAGATCTCAGTCTTTTGCCTTATTTTTAAGCTTAAAAATCAATGTGTAGGGCGTGTTTGCCTCTCCTAGAAGTTTGTTGTGAAAAAAGTGTTATCCTGCTAAGTGGAATGTTTTTCGCCTGCAAGACATTCCTTCCTTGGAAAGGAAGTGAGGGCGGTAATGAGATTTCTGAGTGGACAGTAATGGTGAAAGCTTTTCCTTACTTTAAATGTTGGAAAGACTGATTGAAAATGTGTTTACAAAAATGGTCTCATTTTAGCTCTTGAAGGCTCTAAGGAGCTCTTGGTGGATGAAATGATAAGACTATCATAGTAGGTTATCAGTCCATGCCAGGGGGCTTTTAGATTGCCTCTAGTAGCAAGTTGAAGCAAATTCCATTCAGTTTAGTCTGTAGCCCTTGAATCAGCAGTGTTGGTTGGAGGGAAGAAGATGCTTGTTGAGTGTAGAAGCTCTTAAATGCTGAAGTTCTTACTATGTTAGATACGTATAACCTGGGTAAAGGAATATTTTTCTTTTGCAATAGGTGCACATTGAAGATCCAGAATCATGACTGACTCTAAGTACTTTACAACTAATAAAAAAGGTAAGTAGAGAATCTGATGAAATCTTTGACGTTTTCAAAAGTTGCAGCGTAAGACTGGCCGAAGTAGAATGTTCATGACCTCTTCAGGCATACATGTTGTGGACAGTCTCATTGAGAACTTACTTTTACAGATAAATATATGTAGGTAATTTATATTTTATTAAAAGTATGAGGGCTGGGTCCTCAAATACATCTTTAAAAAAATTATTTACTTCAAAGACAGAGATGCAAAATGAGAATCAAAGACAGATCTTCCATCTGCTGGTTCACTCTCCAGATAATCACACAAGCAGGCTGAAGTTAGGGGCCAGGAACTTCACCCAGGTCTCCTGTGTGTGTAGCCAGGGTCCAGACACTTCATTCATCTTCCACTGCCTTTCCCGGGCCATTAGCACATTGGAAGTGAAGCACCTGGGATGTGAACCAGTGTCCATGTGGCATGTGGGCATGGCACTCTGCAACTCGATAGTCTGTGCCACAACACTTGCCTTCAATTTCTTTTCCTTCCTTTTTTTCCTCCTAAGATTTGTCTGTTTTTATTGGAAAAGCAGATTCACAGAGAAACAAAGAGACAGAAAGAAAGATCTATTTGTAGGTTCACTCCCCAAGTGGCTGCAGTAGCTAGAGCTGAGCCAATCCAATGCCAGGATCCAGGAGTTTCTTCCAGGCTTCCTACATGGGTTCAGGGTCCCAAGGCCTTGCGGCATCCTCAACTGCTTTCCCAAGCCACAAGCAGGGAAGTGGAGCAGCTGGGACGTGACCTGGCCCCCATATAGGATCTCAGGTGTGCAAGGTGAGAATTTAGCCACTGAGCCATGGTGCAAGGTCCTCAAATAAATAATCTTTTAAAAAACGTTTTGCAGATAGAGATGTGATGCACATCACTTTGATTTGAAGGTTTTTTTTTTGTTTTTTTTTTAAGATTTATTTATTTTTATTGCAAAGTCAGAGATACAGAGAGGAGGAGAGACAGAGAAAATCTTCATCTGATGATTCACTCCCCAAGTGACTGCAACAGCTGGTGCTGTGCTGATCTTAAGCCAGGAGCCAGGAACTTCTTTCCTGGTCTCTCATGTGGGTGCAGGGTCCCAAATCTTTGGGCCATCCTCGACTGCTTTCCCAGGCCACAAGCAGAGAGCTGAAGGGAAGCTGGATGGGAAGCAGTGCTGTCAGGATTAGAACCGGCACCCATGTGGGATCCTGGCATGTTCAAGGCGAGAATTTTAGCCACTAGGCCACAGCGCCGGGCCTTGAAGGTTCTGTTTTAATGAAATAATTCTTTGTTTTGTAAAGAGTGTTTTCAGTGTTTTCAGCACTGATCCAGAAAACTGACATCTGAGGAGGGCAAAAGAGTCAGATACAAGTTTATTATTTTCATTTTTACTTAGAAATAAGTTATATAGCAGTACAGATAGATATAACTGACAGTTCTCCCTGTCCCTGTCCCTGCTCCTGAGGGGAGCGCATTTTGTATTCCCATTTTTTTCCATGTGTGTAAATGCATCTGCTTTGTTTGATATGTCTGAATTGTTTGATAAAAAAGATAATGTAAAACAGCAATAGAAATAATGCGAATGTTATTGCCCTCTTCTTGCACCTGTAATTTAGCACTGTTTTTACATCAGAGCGTGGGCCTTACACCAACTGCCATTGTTCCTTTCCTCTCTTCTCTGCCAGTTCTCTGGCTTTTTGAATGTGCCGTGTCTCCTCTTGTCTAGTGGCTGAAGTATGACAACCTCCCTGCTCCCAGATTTTTCTTTCTTGTTTCCCTTATAATATTTAGTGACCTAATTATCTTCAGATGAAACTGAATTGGGCCTTTCTACTTTTGTATTTGTGAGACAGAGCAACAGATTGGATGGAGTATTCCCCTGGTGAGATTCCCTCCCAGATGTTCACAGTGGCTGGGGATGAGTTGGTGTCGAAGGTGGCAGCCAGGCATGCAATGCAGGTCTTCCCCGTGGGTGGCAGGAGCTGGAGTTAGAAACTCTGGTTGAGAATTGAGCCCGGGTACTCTGATGTGAACGAACGGTAGACATGTTTACCACAATCCTGACCACCTGCTCTGTTGAGTTTGGTGTTGAAGAGCACTGCGCAGTCTTTGTAATAATTTATTTAGTAAGTATTTACTGATTGCTATGTGCAAGTCATTTTTTTCTGTATATGTTAATAATAGTGGTGGAGTTTCTAATTAAATATCCTCATTTCCTGCAAGTCAGAGTCAGTGCAAAGGATGCCTGTCAGCCAACTTTCAGCTTCTAGTTTTTACTAAAGATACCATAATGATTTGGAGTAACAGCTGATTTCAGGACAGGGTAAGGGAACATACAAAATGAACATGAATATCTTATGCCAGAAGGGAAGTGCTCAAAAAATGATGGGACATGTCAAGGAGTACCAAAGCTTCAAGGGACTTTGGCCAAATTTGGGATAATTTGAGTAACAAAAGTTAAGAATAATAGATTATGACTCATCGAAGAAAGTGTATGTGAATGTGTTTATATAGGCATAAATCATATGGCAAATGCATATTGTGAAAAAAACTGCATGCACTTAAAAAATGATTGCATTCGATTTTACCTTTTAATTCTGTTTTCTGAATGAGACAGAGATAGAGACGTTCTATCTGCTGGCTCACTTCACAAATGCTCACAGCCACTGGTGATGGGTCAGGCTGAAGCCAGGAACTCCATCTGGGCCTCACATGAGTGCCAGAGGCCCAAGTATTTGGGCCATCATTGACTTCACTCCCAGACACATTAGCAGGAAGCTAGATAGGAGTTTGAAGTTAAACCTGTGGTCCAGTATGAGATGTGGGCGATGTAGGCAGTGACAGTACCCATGTATTCAGGACTCAGTAAGTGATGTGTACAGCCTAGTGCTAAACGGCATAGGAAAAGAGGAACATGAGTGTGTAGAGAGAACGGTAAAGTGAATGTGGCAGATGGTGACAAGTTTAAGCTTGTAACTTTTAGTTTGAATTACTTTAAAAAACCAAACCAAAAACTTACGAGACTATACCGTAGTAATCTGAAGTAAACAAGGATGTACCACAATATTTTTTAGCATTTTTCATAAAGCAAAAAGCAGTCTACCTCACTGTGTTGTTTCGAGTTAGATTTTGGTAAATCAATTCTAGTAAAATCCAGAAAACTCCAGAGTGAGTTTCTTAATTGCATCAACTACTAGTCTTTGATTTTCGACCTTGGCTACATGTTGGGATTACCCAGGGAACTTTTTTTATTTTTTATTTTAATGTGTCTCATAGTTATGCCTTACTAAAACAAAGATAGTGTCAGTAAGAACTTTGTTTACCATCTTTAGAAGTTGACCACAGCTCAGATGTGTTACTTCTTAATCCTCAAGTAACTGCAGTCATTCTGTTATAACGGGAAATGGTATAGCAATGATCTAATGTTAGCCATTTCCTCAACTTAAATCTTGATATGTAACAGAATAAAATTTTAGGCATTGGGGTATAATCATACACATATAGGCATTTTACAATGCTCTAATCATACTCTTCAGACAGTTGAAGATGCCAACCATTCCTCTGAATAAATGAACCATTTATTCAACCATTGGCTGGATAAATGAAGTTGCAGGTTGTGGCAGGGACTTTGTTGCTGAACAGTGTGTGAGATGGGCATGAGTCCTTTTATTGATGACATTCTTGAAGTAAATGTCAGTGATACCCTAAAAAGGACTTTCCTTTTCAAACCTGAGATTGGGCTCCCCAGACACAAGGAGGGTACCACACTGTATGCACGTCTTGGTACACATTGGTTACAGGGCATTCACATCCCCAAAACATTTGCTTTCATCAGAAAGCAAATGCCAATCACCAGTCGTCAGTGCTTGAAGGTTGACTTTAACCAAGTGAGACTGCTGTGAACCTTCAGGAAAAAAGTCACAGCAGCAAGAAGGTGAGCTGAAGCTAACTTCAATAGAGTCTTCATGATACTAGATCCTGGATTACCCAGGGAACTTTTAAAAAATGTGTTGATGCCTGGGTCTCCAACCCCAGATAACCTGATTTTAATGGATATGATCTGGGTGTGGGTTTTAGAAGTTCCCCATGTGTGGACATTTGGCTCAGGATTAGGTCACTACTTGGGCTGTCGTACCCCATAGTACCCCATACCATAGTGTAAATCCCAGTTCTTTCACTGCTGATCCAGATTCCTGCTGAGCTTGAATTTCACTTTGCTGGCTTCAGCCTGGACCATTTATGGTAGTTTTGGGCATTTGGAAAATGAGCCAGTGAATGAAGAGCTCTCTTTGTCTCTTTTGCTTTCGCATAAAGTGGGAAAAAAAATCCAAAGACTTAAAAAAAAAAACCAGTAATCCAGCTTCCCAGATTATTAAATGTGTAGGCAAGATTGAAAACCATCACAAGGTGTTAGCAATGCCTGGTGAATTTGGCTTTGGGAAGAAGGAGATTAAAAAAGATAAGAATTTATTAGAAGTTGTAGTGAATAGTTGCATATGTGTAGCTCGGTTTGTTCTGGTATCCTTTTTTGACTTCACCAAACTTTTTGTTTTAATTGAAAGAGTTAAAAAGAGAGGGAGAGACAGAGATCTTGCATCCATTGCTTCACTCTCCAAATGACCTCAACAGCTAGGTTAAAGGGAGGAGCTTTTCTCAGGTCTTCTCTGTGGGTACAGGGTCCCAAACACTTGGGCCATCCTGTGCTCCGTGGTCAGGCTCATGAGCAGGGAGTTGTATTGGAAATGGAGCAGCCAGGACACCAACTGGCACTCACTTGGAATGCCAGTGCTACATATGACAGCTTAACGTGCTGTGCCACAACATGAACCACATCCACCCAGCATCTGCCTCCCTGCCTGTTATTTATGCCTTAGAAAGTCTTAGCCCCTTGTCATTCATTTTCAACTTTTTCTGATTCTCTTGTCTATTAGAAATACATTTATTTTTTTCTTTTGTAACAATCGATGCTTTTTTTTTTTAAAGATTTATTTATTTTTATCACAAAGTCAGATATGCATAGAGGAGGAGAGATAGAGAGGAAGATCTTCCATCCAATAATTCACTCCCCAAGTGACCGCAATGGTTGGTGCTACGCCGATCCAAAGCCAGGAGCCTGGAACCTCCTCCAGGTCTCCCACGCAGGTGCAGGGTCCCAAGGCTTTGGGCCGTCCTCGACTGCTTTCCCAGGCCACAAGCAGGAAGCTGGATGGGAAGCAGAGCTGCCAGAATTAGAACCGGCGCCCATATGAGATCCCGGCACATTCAAGGCGAGGACTTTAGTTGCTAGGCCACGCTGCCAGTTCCAGTTGGTGTGTTTTTATGACCAACAGCTTGTCTAATGACATAAAGGAATATAATTTTAAAACAGTTATTCAAATTTTTCCTTGTAAGGTAGCTTTTTTATTTGGTCACTTATGAAAGTTTGAGAATCAACCTGAGTCACTGTGGGATAAATGCCACATTTTAAAAATAAATGGATAGATTGTGTTCCTTTTGCTTCCTGCACCACCCACAACAGCTGCCTCTGGAGAACATAGCTTTAAATGTATGCTTTGGAAATTGGAAGAACTTGAGTTACATCCTGTTTTGATTCTGTACCTCCTGCTGCTGTTCACAATTCAGACTTTCTGAAACCCTGCTGTTCATGCTTTGCTGCACCAGAAGCGCTGATGAGAAGAACCCTAAGAGCTAGATTTGGCAGTATAGGCTCGTAGCAGAGAACCCCTTTTAAAGGGGTCAGCTTTTCTGGTTATGCTGGTTTTTTTGCAGCTGGAGCTTAAATAAAATAGTGATTTTGTAACAGTTTGTCTTGATCAAACAAAATATTTTTAGTGCCCAACTTCTGTGTCTTCTCAATTTGGTCTTTCTCATATAGGGACTTCAGGTGAATGGGGTATAAGCACTGTATCCACTATTTCCACTTTAGAGAACAAATGAGGTTTGTTTAAAAGGAAAGGTATGAACAGTTTTGAGGTCAGTATTGTGGTGTAATACCGTGATACCTGCATCCCTTTGGTACCAATTTGAGTCCTTGCTTCTCTATTTCTGATTCGGCTCCCTGCTAATGCACCTGGGAAAGCAGCCACAAGGGTGGCCCAAGAACTTGGGTCCCTGAACCACATGGGAGACCCAGCAGATGCTCCTGACTCCTGGCTTTGGGCTGGTTCAGCTCTGGTTGTTGCAACCATTTTTGGGAGTGAATGAGCAGATGGAAGTTGGTTTACTCTCTCTGAAACAGCCAGGACTTGAACCATGCCCATATGGGATGTAGGTGCTGTAGGTGGTGGCTTAACTTGCTGTGCCACAGTGGCAGCCCCATATATTCTTGAAGCTTTAGTGTTCTTGATGGATTAATTTAGCAGAATGAGCCTTAGACCTATTAGCTTATCAGAATTAAGAGTGGAGTAGTAACTTCAAATCCTGTTTGTACATTTAGATCACTTGAGGAAGCTTCTAAAAATATTCATGTGATCATGCTTGGCATTGCATGTATTTGGTCCAAAGTGCAGTTTGAGCATTGTTTTAATAATACCAGGAACATCTGCATTTAAGAGTCAGGTAGCTGACCTTGTCTCTATCTCATGTTGGCCTTTGAACCGCGTTTCTTTATCTGTAAAATTGCAAGTGGGTCTGTGAGATGATAAGTGAGGTTTTATTTCTTTTTTGAAATAACTGATTTTAAAAAATTTATTTATTTTTAAATTTGAAAGGCAGAGTTGTAGAGATAGGGAAAGAGAGGGAGAGACAGAAGAGAAATGTTCCATCTCCTGGTTCACTCCCCAGGTGGCTGCATTGGCCATCACTTAGCCAGGCTGAAGCCAGGAACTTCATCCAGGTCCCTTACGTGGCACAGGGGTGCAAACACTCTTGATCAACCTCTGCTGCTGTTCCTGTGCCATTAAGCGGAGAGCTAGATCAGAAGTGGAGCAGCCGGGTCACAAACTGATGGCCATGTGGGATATTGCAAATGGTGGTTTCACCAGTTACTCCACAATGCTATTTCCTGATATTACTAATTTCCTAGACTGTTCAAAACCTACATTTTTCTTCTCAGCACTTAAAATCCTGATTGGGGATTATCTCTCGTATGTTGTTCTGTACCCCTGAAGTTAGATATTGTGGGATTTGCCTTTCTATTTAGGGTTTGGATTGTACATTTCTCTCTACCATGATTTTAAAGGTTTTAAAATTGGGCCTGGTGCGATAGCTTAGTGGCTAAATCCTTGTCTTGTATCTATCAGAGTCCTTTATGGGTGCCAGTTCATATCCCAGGTATTCTATTTCCCATCCAGCTCCCTGCTTGTGGCCTGGGAAAACAGTGGAGGATGGCCCAAAGCCTTGGGAGCCTGTACCCAAATGGGAGACCTGGAGGAGTCTCCTGGTTCCTGGCTTCAGATCAGCAAAGCAGCTCTGGCCATTGCAGCCACTTGGGGAGTGAATCAGCAGATAATCTTTCTCTTTGTATATATATCTGCCTTTCCAATAAAAAAAAAAAGGTTTTAAAATGTACTGGTATTGTCATTATCAGTAAGTCAGTTGATATTCTGGGGCTTTGACTTTTCCGTATCCTATAAGTTTTAAGTGATTTGGTTTTAATTGCCGTCTTATTTTTCTGTGTTATTCAGTAGTGCAGTCTCCTGCTTTAGTTCTCTGGTTTGTAGACCATACTCATTTGTTCCTATTTTTGTAGGAGAAATCTTCGAATTAAAAGCTGAGCTCAACAATGAGAAGAAAGAAAAGAGGAAAGAGGCTGTGAAAAAAGTGATTGCTGCTATGACCGTGGGGAAGGATGTTAGGTAAGGGTCACTTCATGGCCGTCCCACTTTTTATGACCTTTACTGCTTCTTATGTCACAGAGCCTAAAAGAAATAATTTATTCCACTGAAAAGATACTCCAGAATTTTAAATTATTAAACATATGGAGAGATAATTTGCTTGCCTCTGCTCGTTCACTCTCCCAATGTCCCCAACGATTGGTGTTAGGCCAGAGTGAACCTGGGAGACAGGAACACAGTGCAGGTCTGTCACATGGAGGAAGGGACCCAGGTACTTAGCCAGCCATCACCACTACGTCCCAGGGTGCACGTCAGGAGGAGGCTGGAGTCAGAAGTGGAGCCGGGAATCAAACCGAGGCACTCTGATCTGAGGTGCAGGCAGCTGACTGGTAGATGGTGCATCTGTCCATGAATTGCTCTCTTACTATTTCTCTGACTTAAGTGTTGCTTCTTTGGTTTTTAGAGGAGTAAAACAAGTTTAGTTTTGTTGTATTCATGTTTAGGGCAAAACCTTCTGCAAGCTGGCCAGTTATCAATCTGCTGGTTGAGATAGTGTCAGAAGATGATACCGATGAACTGAGACACCAAAGCTCGCTCTGTAATTGACACAAGCCATTGCCCTGCAGTTTACAACCCTGCTTTCAGCTGCTGAATTCTTGATGGAAATCAATATTAAAATGCATTTGTTCCTGTTTTTTGTTACTTTAATGTAGCAAGACTACTTGAAAGGAGTGAGGGTTGACTTCAGGCTCCGGAGAATTGGCAGGACACTTTTGGAGGTCTGTTAGGTCAAAGCTGTTTTTGTAATGACATTAAGTTACTGTCTTTTTTTCACCGTTTTGATGTTGGCATTGGTGTTGCAAAGTGTAGTAGTAGGTAAAATTCCTGGGAGGTTAACATGAATCAGGGTAGCGAAGCTGGTCTGAACAGTGGAATTGTATTTTATACCCCTACATACAAGAAAAGGAGCATTTTACTTAGGCTATCCTTCGTGAAGAATTCATCTGGTTTTTTAAAAACTTAGACTTTGAGAACAGATCTTTTTGATGTTCTGTGTGCTAAAATAAGAATTGCACATAAAGCTCTTTTGCATTGCAAGATGTGATGGTTGATTTGAGAATCGCAAGCACTATTTTTATAAGAAAGTGATTGACAGACTATATTTAATCAGACTTTGGCATTTGGGGGACTTTGTATCAAAAAGGAACAAAGTGAACCTGCCATTACAAGAAGAAAAAAATTGATTGTAGGTAAAATTTGAGCTTTATAACTTGCCAGTATTTAAAGATTTGTTTTGAGATTGTTGATAAGATAAAATAGTGATCGTGGTTGCTTCTGTTAACGATGCCTAACTCAGCAATAATTTTCAAATGACCAATGCATGTATCACAAAATTACGCATGGGTAAAGTATATGAGACATGGACAAAAGCTTATTCATATGGTTTCAAATACCACATTTCAATTACTTTTGAAGAAACTGTTGTTTGTGGCAGGTGGATATTTCGTACAACAGTTAAGCTGCTACCTGGGTTACCTGCATTGCCTGTTGAAGTGTCTGTTTGAGTTCCTGACTCTGCATCTGTTTCCAGCTTCTTGTAGTGCATATCTTAGGGGCAGCAGATCGTGGCTCAAGTGGTTGGTTTCCTACCACTCCGGTGAGAGGCCTGGAGTGAGTTCTGGGCTCTAGGCTCTTGGCTTAGGCCTGGGCCAGCCCCCACTTTCACTGGCGTTTGGAGAGTGAACTAGCAGATAGATATCAGTCTGTTTCTCTGCCTCCAAATAAAATGAAAAAACAAAAAACAAAACAAGAAAAACCACAACCCTCCAAAAAAACCCACCACGTTTGAACTATTTTTAGTGCAGTATCAAAAAGGTAGTTTTGTTTTATATTTCATCTAAAACGTTTACAGTAGGTTGAATGTAGGAACATGTGAGAATCCACCTGTCTTTGTTTAAACTGGATATTAAGTCATTTGCATTAATTAAAAAAATTGTCTTCTCAGCAATTTAAAAATAGAATTTTTATCTTAAAATATGTTGTAAAATGGATTTATTATTTTAGACAAATCAAGATTTAAAAATTTTAAAGGAGATCTTAAGATCAAAAAAGTAAGAGCAGCTATCATAACTAGGCAAGGAGACCAAAGAGAAATGGCATCATGGAGGGGGGGTGGTGAGTTTTGGGCATAGCACTTTTTTTTAAAATTTTTTTAAAAGATTTATTTTTATTATTTTTTTAATTGGAAAGGCGGGTATACAGAGAGGAGAGACAGAGAGGAAGATACTTCATCCGATGATTCACTCCCCAAGTGACCACAGGGGCCGGTGCTATGACGATCCGAAGCCAGGAGACTCTTCCAGGTCTCCCACACGGGTGCAGGGTCCCAAAGCCCTGGGCCGTCCTCGTCTGCTTTCCTGGGCCACAGGCAGGGAGCTGGAAGGGAAGCGGGGCTGCCGGGATAGAACCGGTGTCCATATGGGATCCCGGGTGTGCAAGGCGAGGACCGCCACCGCACTGGGCCCACTTTTTTTTTTTTTTAAAAAGATAAGATGTGTTTATTTTTGTTGGAAAGGCAGATCAGATTTACAGAGAGAAGGAGAGACAGGGGAAAAGATCTTCCACCTGCTGGTTCACTCCCCAAATGGCTACAGTGGCCAGAGCTAAGTTGATCTGAAGCCATAGCCAGGAGCCTCTTCTGGGTCTCCCATGTGGGTCCAGGGTCCCAAGTCTTTGGACCATCTTCAACTTCCTTCCCATTCCAGGAGCAGGAAGCTGGATCAAAAGTGGAGCAGCTAGACCTGCTAACATGAATGTGGATGGGAGGATAGAGTTGGTTGGGATGAGTTAGGCTTCAAGGCCCAGTTATGTATATGAGTGCTGAATGGGAGGTGGAATAGACCAGACCAGTCCACTGCACATGCTGGCAGATACAGAAACCAGGGCTAGGGGCCAGCCCAGTGGGGGTTATGGGGATCACTCTGACTGCGCTGCAGCTCCCAATGGTGTACATGAGGGCCAACTGTGTGGAGGGCAGGGGAGGCTGGGCCACAGCACCTATTGGTTTGTGTAAAAAATGGGACTGGAGATAGATCTGATCCTAGCAGTTATAACCAATAGTGTGGAAGTAGGCTAATATGGGTGACAGAATGAACTGGACCCTGTCTAATTGGGTGTACTCACAAGGGATAGGTCTGAGATCACTTTGGACGAGGTTTCTTCGAGGGTCCCTCCAACTAAACCTCTGAATTCATAACTCCAACAATGGTGAGAATGGCAGGACCTGTGGTCTGATATTGGACTGCATCTGTTAAAACTGGACCTCCTCAGTGGCTTTGATGGAGCATTGGATGGCATGCCCAGAGGCACATATGTTGACCGTTGGAGCCTGCAGAGGATACCTGGTACCATCGCAGAGGAAGGAGGGCAGAACAAATTGATCAGCTACCCCAGTGAAGTGTGACAGCAAATATCTGAGCAGAGACTCAGAGGCAGAGTATGTCAACCAGTGGACCTCGGGAGGATATCCTCATCCTTGCATCTGCAAGATCAACAGCATTTCAACTATCAAAACCACTTGAGGCATACAACACATCAGGGACTTTAAGATGACATTAGGTGACCATTTCCCATCCCTGGTGCTGAGGTGAGGCAGTTGGGAGGCTGGGCTGGGTATGGCTTCTCCCCTTGTCTCTTCCTTTCACCCAGATACAGGAAAAAGGAAAAGAAAATGTGGACATGGGCCCGGCACGATAGCGTAGCAGTTTAAGTTCTTGCCTTGCACGTGCTGGGTTCCTATATGGGTGCTAGTTCTAATCCCGGCAGCCCTGCTTCCTCTTTGGGATCCTGCACTCACATGGGAGACCCGGAGGAGGCTCCAGGATCCTGGCTTTAGATAGCTCAATTCTGGCTATTGTGGCCGCTTGGGGAGTGAATCAATGGACAGAAGATCTTCCTTTCTGTCTGTCTTCCTCTCTGTATATCTGACTTTCCAATAAAAATAAAATTTAAAAAGTTTTTTTTTAAAGAAAGCTCTATTTGAGTAGAAGTAGTTAAGAATTCTTGGAGGAACTGAGATACAAAGATATTTCGAGGAAACAAGAAGTAAGAGGTTGGTTACTTGTAGATGATCAAGCTTCAGTCTACTTAGTAAGTAACCTCAAGTTCAGTGCTATTCAGTAAATCTACAAAACAAGCAACAGGAGTAATGTATTTTTTTCTCTTTTTTAAATTTTATTTTTGATGATTTTTACATAGTTGATTAAGGTACAAAGGGTCAAGGGCTAGAGGAACAGAGGGTGAGACCATTATTTCCACATTCTCTTTTCTTTCCTATATGTGGAGGAAGGGGGCAGATTAGGAGAGAAGCCACACCCAGCCTCCCAAATGCCACTGTACCCTGGGAGGGAGGACATCCACCTGATGCCATCCCAGGGTCTCCAATGTGGGGCATACTCCAAGGGTGTCCTGCTCGAATGGTTTTGATAGTTCAACAGTTCTGAATTGCTGTCGATCTTGCCACTCGAAGCACGATTAAATTTCTAGAATCCACTGGCTGACATAGTCTCCATTTGCCTGGATATTCACTGCTAGTGCTTGGCTGGGGTAGTTATCAATTTGTTCTGTCCTCCCGCCTCTGTTGTGATACCAGGTGTCCTCTGCAGGCTCCAATGTACTGCAAATCCTCCATGTGTATCTGGATATGCTGTCCACTGCTTCATCTAAGCCACTGAGAAGGCCCAGCTTCGACACATGCACTCCATGGTCAGACCATGGGACCTTTAATTCTCTCCATAGTTGGAGTTCTGACGCCATTGATTCAGTTTGGGGGAATCCCCAAGGAAACCTCATCTGAGGTGATCGCAGGCCTGATTCTTGTGTGTGCTTGCCAATACAGGGTGCAATACAGTCCATCACCCAAATCAGCCTATGCACATGCTAGTAATTGCAATTGCTGAGTCAGTTCTGTCTTTAACCCTGTCTTCTGCACAAACCAGTGGGTGCTGCAGCCCAGCATGATCCTGCCCACCACACACTTGGCCTTCATTTAAACCAGTGAGAGCTGCAGCCTAGTTTGAGTGACCTGAAATAAGCCTCACCTGGCCCACCCCTGCTCTGGTTCCCATGCTTGCCAGTATGTACAGCCAACTGGTCCAGTCTGTCCCATATCCCATTCTGCTCTCATACATGTCAATGGGCATTGAAGCCCCACTATCCACTCTACACTGATACTGGTGGGTGCCACTCTCTGTCTAGCCGTTTTTGCTCCTAGTCCTGAATCTCATGCTCACCAGTTTGCGTGGCAACCCAAAAGGAAGGTACCTACTGTTTCCCTAATGGGACTACTCCCACTACTGGATCTTGCATTCTCCAGGTGATTCTGCAGATTAGCTTGACAGAACCTGCCCCCAGTGCCTGCATCTGTCAGCTGATGCTGTGGCAAGGCCCAGCCAACCCACACCCACTCTGGTGTATGCATGCACCAGTAGATACAGTCAGCCCATCCTGGCTTTCCTCTGATCCAGCTCACATGCAGGCCAACAGATGTTGTAGCCCTGCCTGGCCTGATCTGCCCCAATACCAGCTCTCACGCTCACCAGTGAGTGACCTAGCAGAGGAGCCTCCCATAACCCCTCTGCCAGGTTTGCTTCCTTCTTGGCTGGGTCTCACGTGTATTGGTTGGGCGTTGTGGCCAGTCTGGCATGGCCTGCCTCACTTTGACATTTGCCAGTGGATGCTATAACCTGACCCAGCCTGGCCCACCCAGTTCCAGCTTACACTGTTGGGAGCTACAGCCTAACCCAGCCCAGCCAGCCTCCGTCCTGACCCTCATGTTAACTAGCTTATGTTGTGGCCCAACCCGGCATGATCCACACACCATTCTGGTACTTGGATCTGCCAGTAGGTGATATGAATTAGGTTTGGTTTGCCCCAAACCTGAGCCAAATGTGGAGGACCCAGAATACGAACCAGTACCCATATGGGATCCTGGCCATGCAAGGTGAGGATTTAGCCACTAGGCTGCCATACCGGGACCGAAATACCCCGAAATATTTTCCTAGTGGAAAATATTTTCAAAAACTCTTTAGGGGCACGGCAGCATGGCCTAGCAGCTAAAGTCCTCGCCTTGAACGCCCCGGGATCCTGTATGGGTGTCAGTTCTAATCCCAGCAGCTCCACTTCCCTGCTTGTGGCCTGGGAAAGCAGTCAAGGACGGCCCAAAGCTTTGGGACCCTGCACCCGTGTGGGATACCTGGAAGAAGTTCCTGGATCCTGGCTTAGGATCGTCATAGCACCGGCCCCTGTGGTCACTTGGGGAGTGAATCATCGGACGGGGTATCTTGCTCTCTGTCTTTCCTCATCTCTGTATATCTGACTTTCCAATAAATACATAAATCTTTAAAAAAAAAAACAACTCTTTAAAGAGCTTGGCAACTGTGCTTCAACTTTTGACTAATTCATTTCCATGGTAGTAATGACCAGAATGGGGATGTTTGTTATGGATCTAATAATTCTGTAATATAGAACCATGTCACTGTATTCTCTCCTACAGGTTGGTAGTCACATACACTTACTCTTCCTTTTTGCTTCCCTCTGTTCAGCTCTCTCTTTCCAGATGTAGTGAACTGTATGCAGACTGACAACTTGGAACTAAAGAAGCTTGTGTATCTGTATTTGATGAACTACGCCAAGAGTCAGCCAGACATGGCCATCATGGCTGTCAACAGCTTTGTGAAGGTAACTTCTCCCAGGAACTCAAGAGCATTCATTTGCATCTCTAATAATTTTTTTGAATGTGACTGTAGGTGTAGTTAGGTTCCATGTTGCAAATAAGCAACTGTTGTTCTGAAGGAAGATCTCTAGGGAAGTACTGGCAGTGACTAGAAATGTGCTTGTTTTAAGCAACCTATTTGCCAGAGTGTTGTGTCATTCTGGGAAATTTAAACCATGTGGTAAGCCTTCTCTTAGCGGGGCTTGGTGTATTCCTGCCAGATGGGTAGAGGAGAGCCAGGTGAAACTGCGGTGTTTTATTTTCCTGTGCTGACAAAGACTGGCCATACCACTGTATGTTATTGTAGTCCTAGTAACCTGGGGGTCTCCCTGTTGTGGCTTTGTAGAAATAATGCTTATGAATCGGATAGAGTGGGAGCCATAGGAGGCACTTTCTGTATGCTTTGTTTAATCTTAACAACATTTGAGTCTTTCTTTATATTATAGAAGACTTTAAACACATTCAAGTAGAGGGAATGGTAATAAATACCTAAACCCACCTATGTTGGAGTTTTCACAGTTAATAACACATGGCCACTGTTGTTGGATTTATACTCCCTGGGCTCTCCTGACTTCAATTTTCTGTCGAATTTGTAAAAAATTATTTGAAAGGTAGAGAGTAGGGAAAGAACAGACAGGCAAACAGAGACCTCCCAAAACTTGTTCACTTGCCAAATGTCCACCAGCAATTGAAAATCCAACCTGGGTCTGCCATATGGATGGCAGGTAGCCAATTTCTTGATCCATTACCTGCAGCTCTTGGAGGATGTGTTAGCCAGAAGCTGGAATCTGGAACAGAGCCAGGACTTGGGCTCAGCCTCTCCCAGGTAGGATATAGGCATCCCAAGTGGAGTCTTTACTACAATGCCAAACTCCTGACTCTTGACTCCTGGATAATTTTATTTTAAGTTTCTATATTTTTATTTGGAAGGACTCAATCTGGCACTCTGATATGGGGTGGCAGTATTATGAGTGATGGTTTAGCCCACTGTGCAAAACACTTAACTCCATAGTTCATATTTTTTCTTTCTTTCTTTCATTAAGGTTTACTTATTTTTTATTTGAAAGGCAGAGTTAAAAAGAGAGATCATCCATCCACTGGTTCACTCCCTAAATGGCTGCAGTGGCAGGAACTGGGAGCTTCTTACAGGTCTCCCACATGGGTGCAGGGGCTCAAGGACTTGGGCCATCTTTTACTGCCTTCCCAGGGACATTTGCAGGAAGCTGCGTCAGAAATGGAACAGTGTCCATAAATTGAACCAGTGTCCATAAGGGATGCTGGTACAGCAGGCATAGGCTTAATATACTACACCGCAGTGCTAGTTCCTATAGTATTTCTTATTACTAAGTTAGATGATCATAATCATGGGGTTGTTCCTTTTTTTCCTTCAATCAGCATTTGTTTTTCTTTTTTTTTTTTTTTTTTAAATAAGATTACTTCTTTGAAAGTCAGTCACAGAGAGAAACAAGGAGAGACATACAGGCAATGAGAGAGATCTTTTATCTCTGGGGTCACTCCACAAATGGCCGCAATTGCCAGGGCAGGGCCAACCTGAAAGCAGCAGCCAGGAGCTCCTTTGGAGTTTCCCATTTGGGTGGCATGGATTCAAGCACCTGAGCCATTCTCTGCTTCTTTCCTAGGCCACCAACAGGGAACTGGTAGTGGAATGGCCAGAATTCAAATAGATATCCATGTGGGATGCCAGTGTTACAGGCAGCAGCTTTACTGCTTTGCCAAATGCTGGTTCCCCAAATCAACCTTCTAAAATTAACTGATATTTAAATTGTCCTGGAAGATAACCAGTATGCTTTATTATGTCTTATGTCTTATGGATGTTTTCTTCTTTTCCTATCTCATTATATTGTTCAGAGAGAACAGTTCATTCTCCCTGACTGGTGATTCATAGATGCAATATATCATGTCACAGACTGCCCTGGAGAGCTGTCCTAGCCTGAATAGATGATGAAGTCTGAATAGATGATGAAGACTTATACTTATGGGAGATGAGGTTTTGATGTGGGATATAACTGGATGCTTGGATTAATGAATCCATGTTTTGTGATTCTTATAAGCTGGAATGTTACTTTTAGCCACCAGGTACACTTAGAATTCGTGACTGTTGTTTGTAGGACTGTGAAGATCCCAATCCTCTGATTCGGGCATTGGCAGTGAGAACCATGGGGTGCATCCGAGTAGACAAGATCACAGAGTATCTCTGTGAGCCTCTCCGCAAGTGCTTGAAGGATGAGGATCCCTACGTGCGAAAGACAGCAGCAGTCTGCGTGGCGAAACTCCATGACATCAATGCCCAGATGGTGGAAGATCAAGGATTTCTGGATTCCCTCCGGGATCTCATAGCAGATTCAAATCCAATGGTAAATAGACTTCTGTTTTTACAAAGAGAGCCATATTTATTTTATTATTGTTGTTATTTTTAATAAAAAATTCATTTTAGTTTTAATGATGTTTACATAGTTCAGAAGATGCCCCTGTGGACCACTGATTAGGGTAGGGAGGGTCAAGGAATGGGGGAAAATGGATGAAACAACTACCTCCAATCTCCTTTTTTTTCCTGTATCTGGTAAAAATGGGGAGAGGAGAGGAGAGGGCTACTCCCAGCAGTCCAACCTCATTAGTACCTGGAAATGGGGGATCGCCACATGATCTCATCCCAGGGTACCCGAGATGCTGTTGATATCATTGCTCCAAGATTGAGGAACTCCTTCCAAGGTTTGACTGACATAGTCCACCTTAAGTCTCTGTTTCCCCAAATACTCATTGTTACAGCTTTCCCTGGAGCGCTGTCCAGTTTGTTCTGCCTTGCATGGAACTAGACATCCTCCGCAGGCCTCAATGAACTGGTTGTCATGTCCCCCATTTGCATCTGGGCATGCCATCTGAGTGTGTGGTATTTAACATGGGCCCTTTTCAAGGCTTTTGGATGTTGGAACACAGGGTAGCTGTGGGAAACAGGACTTAATTGTGTCTTATAGATAGTATATCTCATACCTGAGGGGTTTTGAAGTGTCAATCAGGCATTCAAGGGTTTTAAAGGAAACTTTTGTATTGCACCTACTCTTGTATTTGCTCAGAAAAAAAATCTGTCTTTACAACATTTTCTTTAGATATTTACTTTAATTTTTACATGTGTATTTTTACTTTGATGTTTGTGGAAAAATACAATTAAAATGTACTTTTCTTTTAGTATCAAAAGGAAAATTAAATCCATGCATATATGAGCAGATTTTTTTTTTTTTAAGATTTCTTTATTTGCAAGGCAGAGTGACAAAAACGGGGAGCAAGACAGAGAAGGAGATCTCTCTAAATGGCTGCAACAGCCAGGCCAAAGCCAGGAGCCAGGAGCTCTGTCTCATTCTCCCACATGGGTGATGGGTTCCCAAGCACTTGAGTCATCTTCCACTGTCTTCCAAGAGCATTTGCAGGGAGGTGGATCTCAAGTGGAGTAGCCAGGGCTCAAACTGGCACTCCTCTGGGATGCTGGCAGGTGTCAGGATGATAAAGGAATTAGCTGGCCAGCCAGTGTAGCTGTAACCTGGGTGCCAGCATCCCTTAGTCTCTGGTGCTCCACTTTTGATTCAGCTCCTTGCTGATAGACCTGGGGATGCTACAGGAGATGATACAAGTGCTAGAGCCCATGCCACTCACAAGGGGAGGCATGAATGAAATTCCAGGCTCCTGGTTTAGGTCTGGCCCAGCCCCAACGGTTTTGGCTGCTTGAAGAGTGTATCAGCAGATGAAAGATTTTTTTCTCTCTCTTTCCCCCCCACCCCTTTCAAACCAGTAAAGAAATCTTTGAAAAAATTAATCAGTGGATAATCTGTATATATATTTTTGCTGAGATTTTTGAATAATTAACATTTGCCTAGAGCATCTTACTTGAAAGTTACCTGTTCAGATCTCTGCTTTGCCATCTCATTTGGTGCACTTGGTTCTATTTATTTATTTATAATTATTATTTATTTTATTTATTATCCTTCAAGATTAGTATTAAGGTGATAGAATGAAGCAAACCACTTTTTGAAAAAGATTTATTTATTTTTATTTCAAAGGCAAAGTTACAGAAAGAAGGAAAGGCAAATGGCCACAGTGGTCAAAGCTGAGCTGATATGAAGCCAGAAGCTTTACCTGTTACTCCAAAACGCCAGCCCCAAGTCCACTTTTTTTTTTTTAAATTTAAGAATTTTGAAATTCTTAAAGATTTATTTCTTTTTATTGGAAAGTCAAAATAACAGAGAAAGAGAGACAGAGAGAAAAATGTTCTATCCACTGGTTCACTCCCCAAGTGGCCACAGTGGCCAGAGCTGAGCCAATTCAAAGCCAGGAGCCTGGAGCTTCTTCTGGGTTCTCCCTTGTGGGTGCAGCGTTCCAAGTCTTTGGGCCACCCTCTACTGCTTTCCCTGGCTACAAATGGAACTGGACAGGAAGAGGAGCAGCCAGGATACGAACCAGCACCCATATGGGATCTCGGCACATTCTAGGCAAGGACTTAAGCCACTCGGCTGCTCTATTGGGCTCCCAAGTCCATCTTTTAAAGGTGCTTCGATGCTGACTACCATCAGCCGTCTTCCAGTCATCTCGCAGCCTTGGGTGCGGAAGTACTGAAATCATGATTCCTGACAGAAAGTTATCCCCAGTGTTAAAAGAGTTAGCCTTGCTTTTTCTCTGTCAAGCAACATGATGTGGCATGTTCAACAAAAAAAAACTTCATTGAGAAATAAGTTAATAAAGCAGAAGATGTACTTTATAGAATGGTTAACTAGTGCCAATTTAGGTTTCTGGCTTTACTTTTAAATTCTTGTTACTTGGAGCAGCTGTCTTTGAAATTCTCTACTTGAGGACAGTTGAGGAAATGACAAGTATTTGAGCTCCAAGCAGATAAGCAGAATATCATGTACCCTGTGGAAACTTATTAAAATTCAGACATTCCAAGGTTAGATGAAGGTGAGAATTTAATTCCTGTAGACAACTCAGATTTTGAGTTGGGGGAAAAGGTATTTTTTATAATGATATCACTTCTCCCATGTCTGGCCTAGGAAGTTAGATGGTTAGGAATAAAAACGTTCTGAGGTTTTGGTAGTAAAGATGTTTGTTTTTTTCCTGAGCAGCGCTGAGTTCTCAATCCTGCGGATGTGAGAAGAGATTGTGAGACCGGGCTGCAGGAGGAGGGCTGGTCTTCAGCCGTTTCATAGTACTAATCCAAGATATGCATGCATTTAGTTATTTACTCACTCACTTATGCTGTTTTACTGTGTGAATCTTCAAACATATTTGGAGCTGAAGAATGACTAAATAAGTGAGCTAATCTACCCTGATTGAATTCTTGTCAGTTCATACCAATCTTGTTTTATTTCTTTCCATGTCCTCTAACTTTCTGTAATTTAAATAGGTAACATGTGAATGGATTTCTGTTTTAATATATTCTAATGTATTAAGCTGTAACATGCTATTAATAATTCTTAACCCATTTGTTGCTAAAGCATAAGGTGTTTGGGGAGACTTTCAGAGAAAGTTCAAGATTACTTGGTTGGTCTGTGAGACACTGTTTTGCGATTGCCTTTTGTCTCTTCAATGCAGGTTTTCTTAGCACTGGCTGTCAGCGTTAGATCTCTAAAGATCTCTCTCCATTCTTGTTGGTTTCTCACTAGCAGAATGTTTCACTGATATTGTTTGATGAATTGTTGTTGAGCTACTCAGAATGTAAACTTAAGGAGGCCCCCAATTTTCCTGGCTAGGTCTGTGTCTGCACAAGCCTGAAAACAGGGTGTCTCCTTCAGTTTTGAGTCTGGGGTCCCTCTCTTGCCTCATTCTTGTTTTGATTTTGTTACACTTTCAACATAGAGGTCTTTTTTTTTTTTAATGTTCACATGCCCAATTAGAATTTTCATTTTCTCAATAGGTATAATTTCTTTTTAACATAACTGATTAATCCTAATCCTCTCCCTACAAGTGCTGCATCCCGTATGGATGCCAGTTTGTGTTCTGGTTGCCCTACTTCCCATCCAGCTCCCTGCTTGTGGCCTGGGAAAGCAGCAGAGGATGGCCCAAAGCCTTGGAACCCTGCACCTGTGTGGGAAACCCAAATAAGCACCTGGCACCTGGTTTTGGATCAGGTTGGCTCTGGCCATTGTGGCCATTTGGGGAGTGAACTATTGGATGGAAGATCTTTCTCTTTGTGTCTCCTTTGTATCTGCCTTTCCAATAAAAATAAAATAGTCTTAAAAAAAAAAGGAAACAAAGTGAAAACTTTGAGCACTTTTATGTGGAAATCTTTTCAGTCCTGTTTCTGTGCTAATGAATATGAGTTGTCACTGCTCTGGAGCAGTGATTTTGTTCTACTTTTTCAAAGGCTCTCCACACGGTGGCAGCACTACACCAGCAAATGTAGACTTTTATGAAGGATATGAATGTGTCCTGGGTGGTTGCTTGTAGACCAATGTCCTAGGTCCTTAAACACCAGAGTATCTGCAGAGATGTTTTGAAATCTAGTGAAGTAAAATGCTGGTCAGGTGCTGAAAACACTTGGTGTTAAGGTGAGGTACAGTCTGATTCCCAGTTGTAGCGTGCCTTGCATAAAATGGTACAGCTTCATTATATTTTCTTGTCTGTATATCACCCACACCTTATATTTTGTAGTAATTTTATCGTGTAAATTTATTTGTGGTTTATTTATTTATTTTTAAAGATTTATTTTATTTTTATCACAAGGTCAGATATACAGAGAGGAGGAGAGAAAGAGAGGAAGATCTTCTGTCCCATAATTCACTCCCCAAGTGAGCGTAACAGCCGGTGCTATGCCGATCCATAGCCAGGATCCAAGAACTTCCTCCCATGCGGGTGCAGGGTCCCAAAGCTTTGGGCCATCCTTGACTGCTTTCCAAGGCCACAAGCAGGGAGCTGGAAGGGAAGTGGAGCTGCCGGGATTAGAACCGGTGTCCATATGGGATCTTGGCTCATTCAGGGCAAGGACTTTAGCTGCTAGGCCATGCCGCCGGGCCCCATTTGTGGTTTATTAAAGTTGACTTTCCTGAAATACTTGAGAGAAGAGATGGATTTGAATTTATTTTCAAGTTTGTTTATTTTCATTTATTGTATGGTAGAAATATCAGAGTGAGGAACAGAGTGAGGCAAGATCTACTTTCCATCCATGGGATTCAGTTCCCAAATGCCTGCAATAACCAGGCTTGGACCAGCTGAAGCCAAGAGTTGGAACTCCATCTGATCTCCCACATGGGTTGCAGGGACTCAAGTACTTGAGCCATTATCTGCTGCCTTCTCAGGTGTATCAGCAGGAAGCTGTGTTGGAAACTGTGGAGCACTTGAGTCGTCAGCTCTGCTTTACCAGGCACACTAGTGA